TTTGAGCAATACTGAGTATTACGAGATTTTAAATATCTAGAAAAGTGGGAGAAACAAGGTTAGTAAGTGTAGAAGCTGAAGTAAATAAGCAGAAGTAGACAGAGGGAAACATTAAAATGAGAGAGGAGGAGGGGGGGGGGGTCAGTAAAGCACAGAAGAGTTATAAGGTGGTATTAGCACCATAAGAAAAGGCAGTGCAGAAATAACGAAGAAACAATGAAGGAAGAGAAAAAGTTTAAAAAACACAGAATGCTCTTGCACATTGATTTCATATTCATACTCCCTACTTATAAATGAAGGGACTTGCCAGGAACGGTTGAAGGGGTCATGGACATGTTATCAATAACCATTGTATACATGAATCATGTGAAATTAGGGTTAGGGTTAGGGTTCAAGTAAAGATTTAACAATAAATTTGTTGTAATAAAATTCTTGTCTAGAAAATATGAATTCCAAAGACCCTCATCTCACGAAGGCCTTACATAATGTTGATACAAGCAAGTGTCAGATTATTTCAGTTTAGTTGATCAAACCAATTAAGTTAATCTAAAAAAAACATGATGGATTTGCTAATAGTTATACAAAAAATTGCCAGAAAAGTGATAGTAATTCAAAGGCATAAAACCAGTTGAAATAAAAGCTTGAGCCACTAATGAGGTAATCCGTGTATGGGATGATCGGTACCAGTGCGCCGGCCTACCTGTAAAGAGCGGCCTCATGAGAGAGTATATAAACATGTCACGTGAGGTGTGAAAGTCAATTTGGCAATCTGAAATGGACTAATGGAAATCAAACAAGGTGTGATGCATAATTAGGGTCTGTTCTCATGGCTACAATAATGTGTTTCATTGGCTGTCCACAAGAAAGGCCTAAGAGATACACGTGTGTATGTATTGTCAATGGCAGTAAAGGTCTTCTTGCAGATAGCCCATGATATATTTTGTCTTGTGCTATTTGTGAAGATAGGCCATCATGCTGGAAATCAATCATTAAACAAAGATCTGGTAGTATTATGGGGATGTAGTGACGTGCAGATTAATTGGAATTAAGCTGTGTTGTTGTCTCACATCAGCATCAATTACGTCAACAGTTAAGTGGACCCAATAGATGCAAAAACCTGCTTTTGTTAAAAACATATTTAAAGTTTTCAATTTTTTTCAAATGACGATATCATTCTCCTCAAAAAAAAGTACTCTGAGAAAGTACTGCAAGTCATTTAGTTTAGTAGAAAAGGATAGAATCTGCTTGTAGTCACCAGAAAAACTCCTTGGTTAAATTCAGCAATATATCAGTTTTTAATAACAAATCATAGTTGCTTTGCGAAACATAGTGAATAGTGGCACGACAAGATGCTTCCGGAAGATAAAATGCATACAATCTTCATTTTGTCATTCAGAGGTAGAACCACATTGTTAGGATTTTGAGCTATTAAATGCATCTGTAATCTTGATGAGGCTTAAAGTTATGTTAAAAAAGGACTTTTATTTTGATAAGTATTATGCAATTTGCATTCCGAACAAGTCTTTTTCGTGCCACTATATTTCACTTAAGTACCTGATAGGCATAACAGTTGCATAATCTTTGTGAGAACAAAGGAGTTAATGAGGGATCTTATATCACTATGATCTTTGTTAACTCTTTAGTTTTAAATATCATGCTCCACACCGAGCGCGCAACTCCTGATAATACACCCGTCAAGGGTGGCAATAAAAGGCAAGGACTGTCTCAGGTTAAGCATTGAGGGCGTGTTATTGTCTGTGGTTGATTGGGCGTACAACACGGAAACAGTACAGGCAGTGGACTGGATCCATCCAGGCATGATCCATGACACCGATATTTCCCCCTCTATGTGAACAGACATGTACCCAGGCCAGGCAGCCAGCCTTGTCGTCCCTGGATTATTACGCTGTTAGTTTTTATGGTGTCTAGCGTTTTGGGGGTTGAATCATGAATGTTCAATTTCATCCATTTTTTATTGAATTTTGTTATGGATGGTGGCATGATCGAGGAAGAGATATGGCCCATAATATACAGGGAGATTGGTTGTTAAATTGTGTATAAAAAAGTTGAAAGTCTGAGTCTTTGTAGATTTCTAGTGGTTTGTAGATAGTGAGGTAGCATATGAAAATATTGATGGGAAATTTGAATGATTGACTATACTTCATATTTCAATTCAGTGGTTTGTATTCAATATTAAATGGATATCCATATATCTAGCATCATTTATCTGTTTATTTTTAAACAATTGTGAAGGTTATTTGATATTCTCATTGAAGTTTATTCTCATTCAATTACCCATTATGATCAGTCAGTGTTTTTTGTTGGTGTATTTTCCTTGAGTTAAATTTGAACATATGAATTTGACGGAGGCTGACATTCACCAACTTTGTGAGGTCTTTTGTCTTTGTTCTACTTTTACATTCCTCAGATACCCCTCCTAAAGGTGTAACAAGATAAATGCAAAAATAATCTTTTTAACATGCACCTTAGATTAAAGTCTGTTGGACCTTCATGGACATCTTCTATAATGTTATACAAAGAGTAACTTTAACTTGAACAAATTCAAAAGAATTATTTCATGTTGATTTTGTGTAACAGGAACCTCTTAAATTTTGACATCACCCTTCCTATTCAAGAATTATTTGTAATCCATAATTTTGTAGAAATTATTCTTTACATGATTTTTCTAAAATAATTTTTAAAATCCAAGGTGTATCTACTTTAATCAATTATATTATTAAGATAAAAATTAATTTGTTCAGTACAGTGTTGGACTTGACTATGCCTTTAAGTAGTTTTGAAAGGATTCATTACAAGATCTTCTTTCATAGTTGACTGGGTTAAGGCTTCAATGGAATCTTGTATGGAATCTATAGGTGCATGGTAGGACTTCACTATATACCATCATATTAAACTTACACTTCAACCCCTAACTTTTCCATCTACTTCACAAACAGGTATCTCAAATGAAATGAAATTGAAATGAAAAGTTTGTGAGGTGTAGGCCTAAGTCTGTTCTAATAGTGACGTTTGCATTCTGTGTCTGTGTGTGTGTGTGTCTCTCTCTCTCTTTCCTTTTGTCTTGTTCTTCTTGTTCTTGTTCTTGTTCTTCTTGTTCTTGTTCTTGTTCTTCTTGTTCTTGTTCTTGTTCTTCTTGTTCTTCTTCTTCTTCTTCTTCTTCTTCTTCTTCTTCTTGTTCTTCTTGTTCTTGCTCTTCTTGTTCTTCTTCTTCTTCTTCTTCTTGTTCTTCTTCTTCTTCTTGTTCTTCTTCTTCTTGTTCTTGTTCTTCTTCTTCTTGTTCTTCTTCTTCTTCTTGTTCTTCTTCTTCTTCTTCTTGTTGTTCTTCTTCTTGTTCTTCTTCTTTTTTTCTTCTTCTCTTTCTTCTTCTTTTTCTTTCTCTTCTTCTTTTTCTTCTTCTCCTGCAGCTTTGAAAAAATCTACTTCATTTTAAGGGTCTTTTTGTTGATGTTGTTGCTGCTGTTTTTTTTTAGTTGATTTTCTTCTTCTTCTTCTTCATCTTCTTTCATCTTTTATCCATCTTCTGTTTTTGCTCTTTTTGTTCAATACTGTTTTTCAAATAATTCACCTTCTTCCATTTGACCATCATACCTCGCCTTTATAAATCTTGCATGCGTGTGTGAGTCCTGAAGTAGATACTCCATCTAGCCTTATCTGAGTGGATTATTGTCAGAGTTATGAAAGTAGGTTTATCCCCAGGTACATTCTCCAGTCTAGACAATACAATTAACCTACATTTTCTACAAATGTCAAGTTTTACTTTCCAAGATTGGCTCGACAAGTCTATCATTTCCTGAGAGAAAAGAAACGAGACAAGTTCAACCACTTTCTAGATCAGGATCTCAGCAACTCCCACCTACCTGCCTGTTGCGTTTTGTTCGTGATGCCTACTTTACAAGATAAGCTTAAATGAACCATGGCTATAGAATGCAGCTTTCATCACCTTAACGCTGTAGATTCCACCACGCCTTAACGAGTGGGTGTAATTCAAGTCCCTGTGGATCTTCTTAAGCCCGTTGAATGTCTCTCTGTAACCCATCTGGTATGCTAGCGAGCGAGCGTCTTCCCTGTTCTGTCGGCAGTGCCCAGCCACGACATGATTCCTTATTGCCACTGATTAAGATACATGACCATCGTATTACCTGTCTCTACAGTCCCAGGTCATTCATTATCCTGTTGTATTGAGAGAATATTTGAAGCAATTATAGAAGCAGTCCCTCTGGTATCTTGTCCATCATGATCTGATGAAGATAAGTTAACCTTTGCACTGCCTATAGCTCTTTGGATTAAGTTAGAGCTGCAGGAGTTAAAGGCACTTTCTAACATTGCCAAAATGAGGTCAAGCTCTTTCTAGTGGCTGTATTCATTGAAAAAATCAACTTCATTCTTTTCTACAAGAATTGTAATATTTAATAAAATGGAAGAAAGAATATCTTTACTGATTATGTCTCTAAAATGTAAAAATGTAATATACAAGATGTCTCACATTTATTATGGATGTTTGAAAGTAATTCAAGGATTTTCAGTAAGCCGCTCATGATGTACTTAACTTGCAATTGGGCTGTAATATCCATATTTAAAATTTGATTTTCACATGTGTTTCTAATTTTTATTGGACTTTATCAGGCTATCTGTCATATTGCTTCAGTCAATGTACACAAATCTTTTACCTTTACAAAATCTGTTTGTCTCTGCATTTTACAATTGTGTAAGAAATAAAGATATGCTTTACAATGAAATAATTGTTTTTTGATGAAACTTTTCATTACATTTTAAGTTTTATGAGATTTTTCAACCTTTTATCCTTAAAATGTTAAAATAATTGCCATTCATAGTTTGATGGAAATAAAGCCAGGATGATATTTTCTGAGCTCTTTATATGTTCTCATATACATTGTTACATTCACAATGTGCTCAAAAGTGGATTATAATTATTAATGTTGCTTGTTTCTTCTTTTCCCTTTTCTCGCTTATCTTTACAGCCAGAGAATCTACTATTCTATAGTCCTGATGAAGATTCAAAAATCATGATCAGTGATTTTGGGTTGTCCAAGATCGAGGGTCAGGAGGGCATGTCGACAGCCTGCGGCACGCCTGGTTACGTAGCGCCAGAAGTTCTGAAGCAGCTGAATTATGGGAAGGAAATTGACATCTGGTCAATAGGTGTTATCACATACATTCTGTAAGTGCATGGCTAATATGTAATTCATGCAGTTAGTCATAGGTGGGCCCTCCATTTCGTTTTTTCTCCGATTCCGATAGAAGAGATATTTTATACAAAGTTTGTTAGAACAATTTTATGAATAACACTTATGGTGTAGAAAAGAGTATGGAAAGCAAACTCTATACACATTGCAAAGCTGTGTGTTAACAGACTGATAGAATTATGGAATGTCCAAAGATTGGCAAGTCCAGGGTAGTTTTTGTCCCTAATATTACAGACTATATCACAGAATCCAGTATACCAGGGCCCCCGGTGCACAAAGTCTAGCCATTGATTATATGATAGATTGGTTAATGGTACATATAGATCTTTAGTAAATTAGCAATCAGTCATCGATGTTTCTTAATGCTACAGGGCCCTGCTGTTTGCAAATAGTTGAAGACCCACTATAGCCTTTATCAGATCAATCATCAATTATGCTCCCTATTATGTGATACTTGGTAATACATAGGACACAAAAAGACTAAACACCTTCGACTTGCCAGGATATAAAAGACCCCGTTCTCACTCACTTTGAAAGTGGTCTTAGTTAGACCGCTCCAGAGGAACGGGTCTTGAGGAACGGTTTGCGAGCGTACACACTCCACGAGTCAAAGTGGTCTTGTTGCTATGGCAGCTCAGGTCAGCAGATCAATTTTTTCGCGCGCGGAATACAAACCGTATGTACCGTACTACATGTTTCGCACCGAAGGTCACTAGCTCACTTCCGTTCAAAGTACGCTTTCCGTTCACATTGCACGTTAGAGCGCTCCAAACCGCTCTTAATAAGACCCGCTCCTCAAGACCACCTCGAAAGGTGGTCTTCTGGAGCGGTCCAGAAGTCCACTTCCTGGACCACTTTGACCGTTCTCACTCACCTAAGAACCGCTCCTGAGGAACGGGTCTTAGTTAGAGCGCTCCAGAGCGCTCCAACGAAGTGAGTGAGAACGGGGTCAAAGTTAAGAATCTGTATAATTGTTTTGTTTATCACAATCCAGATTGACAATAGTTTTTTGGCGAAATTTAGGAGTCAATGTCTTTCTGGTCCTCGGGAGATAATTTTATGTTAGTTGCATGCTGATTGCATTTCAAAGCAATACTGAGTCTAATAAGTAAGAAGTTGCATATTGATGAAAACAACCCTTTTTTCATTTTAATTAGGTGAATTTTAATGTAGAGGTTCAGAGAGAAACTGGTCAATGAAATAATCATGCTGCCAATTCATTTAGTATCCATCAGAAATTATTCATTCTCTAAAGAATTCATATGATTTCTGAAAATATATCTGTTGCATTTCATGTCTGTACAAATTTAGTTCAATCACTTTTAACCCCTCAAAAAGTACAGCTTCACTATAAGAACATGTACCGTAACAAATATCAACAACATCTCGAAATTGTTTGAGGCCAGGTACGTGATTGCATCTAGAGATAAAGCCATAATCTTATCTCATTAACCTTTCCTTTCTCTGATCAGATTATGCGGTTATCCTCCATTTTATGATGAAAACGACTCCAAGCTCTTTCAGCAGATCATGCGAGGGGACTATGAATTCGACTCTCCATACTGGGACGATATCTCAGATTCAGGTAAGGTTTTGAAGACATCCGTCTTTTCAATTATTCCACCATCTTGCAGGAGAGAAAATGTGGATATTACTCATTTTTTGCCAATGAGTTGAAATAGCCCCCACAGTGGTGATGGTGCAATGTTTGTAAAAGAATCCAACGACGCAATGCAATAATCTGAAAGTAATCTGAAAAAGTCTGAAAGTTGGTAATGAGAGTGCGTTTGAAAAGAGTGATGAGTGAAAGTGAATTTCATGGTATACCAGTTCTTTAGAATCAGAACAAATAAATCTGAACGTTAATAAGTATTACGCAGCGTAAGCATATAATGACCACATATTTTGTTTACATAACATAGTTCTTCCTATTAAAATTCTCATCAAAAGGGATATTGTGTAGACCATTTGTATTCATAAAGGACTAATGTAATCATGATTCTATTTAGGTTTAAAATGTAATAATGCAGCACTGATTAAGAGCAAGAAAGAATAGTTTGAAATGATGATGGGATCAATATTTACACCGGGGTTATTACAAGGAAAATGTAGTATCCGACTTTGTGGGTGATTATTGCTCTATACAAAGGTGGTTTGATGTGCTCTTTCAATTATAGTGCAATATAATACCGCACAATCATGGAGCTGATAAACACTTAACAGATTTTTAACGAAATCCAACATCGCTCCACGCCTGCAATATCCGACTCTGATGGGTTACCATGGTAACGGCATGTAGGCTGGAAATATTGCCAAGTGCATTGCACTCTCTCTCTCTCTACAGCTTTCTTAATCTCACACACACACGTTCTCTCTTACATTCTTTCTCTATTGACACGATTACACAATTATCAAATTGTGAATTGTAGTGTGTGTTCACATCTCACTTCCATATATATTGCTGTCTGTTTTTTTCTCTATGTGTACTTTGTTTTTACTTTTCCCTTTCTGCTTTCTCTTTCTATATGTAATTATATCCTTTTTCTTCTCCTCCTCTCTCACTTTCTATATAGAGCTCACCGTAGTCTCTCCCTCTTTAAAGAACTGTTATCCTTGTCTCTCTTTCTCTTCTCCTCTCTGTCACCCCATTTCCTCTATGCAGTATAACTCTGTTTTTTATGCTGAAGAAATCTGAAATTCAAAGTCACACACAAATGTGTGGGTTTGCTTGTGATACGTGTGGTACAGGAGGCTTAATAATAAAAGTGTTTGATCACCATCTTCGTGTTCCCAGTGATACATCTTAGAACAGTTCATTCCCACTCTTATGACTATATCATCTCATACTCCCATTGAAATGTCCGATATACTTCCATTAAATGCAGTGTCAACTTATTAATGATGGAACCAACTTTGACAAGGACACACTTACGCAATTTGAAGGTAAAAGGGATCAATCGATCGAGGGGCAGAGATAGAATAATGAGAGGTTCCAATAGAATATTATTCTCCTCTTTCATGGAAGGCATGCAAGTGGAGTGTAAACATTTAACACTCAACTGCATTCATCCATGTTGCCAGATTTGAATTTGAATGTTTATCATGATGATTTTACATGTTGGTTACCTCTCCAGCTAGTAGAAGCCTGCCGTTGACTTTCTACATGCATTTTTATGTGATATGATTTCTGTTTGAAATACAGACAGATTTAATGATGCAATGAATATATTGATGGAGCCCAGACATTGCTGTTCATTTAGATAGGGATGCTGCATGGGTACTTTCATTGATTGGGCAGGGAGGGTGGGGGGGGGGGGGTCCTAATTGTATATGGTGGAAAGTGAATGAAACAGGCCACTGGTATATAATGGATGGGGGGAGGGGCTCCTTTTGTTTCCTTAGAACTCTCTTTCTTGTTGTCATTATCAGTTTCATTACCATTATCATCACAATTATCATCATCACTATTATCATCACCATATCATCATGGTCATTGTCATCATCACCACCACAATCATTATTATTGTTACATCACCATTATAGCATCATTTCATCATCATCAACATCATCATCATCATTATTATCAACACCTCCACCATCAAACCCCCTTCACCTTCATCATCTTGCCTCACAATTAAGTACACACAAGACACATTGCACAGCGATCGCACGTTCTATAAAGCCTGCATGAAATTACATGTAATATAGCTGCATCCTGTTGATTTGATTCCCCTTCAATCATGCGCAAGCAAGAAAACATCATCCCTTCCTTCCTGGCAATGTCTCCATCCGGCTTGACGGACCAAGCGGGTTGATTATCGTCCCCGGTGCTGCAAATCTATGCATTGCTCATTGATAAGTCGGCGTATCGTTTTAGGGTTCACGGGAGAATGAGAACACCGACAAATGGTTATTTTGGGAAAGGAAGAGGTAAAACGTCTTGTTGTGTGAGAGGTTTAATACGGGACGATGCATTCGTCGTTCTCCATTGATTAGGTTATCCATGCAGCATATGCTTGTTGGGTTTAAGGGTAGCTGTGCGTGCATAATGGATACATGTGTATTTATAACTGAGACACATGTACTAGGAAACTTTATTGCAGATTTCTAAAACATAATGATAATAATAACTAAACGTTTTTGTATAGCGCATAACACATCAGCATTATTACATGTCTATATGCACTTGGGCTTGATGTCTGGAATCAAATTACAACCTTTATTTTCCTCTTTCATCTTGGGTTTAATTAGCATTGAAGATGAACTTGTATTAAAATCGAGTTGAGTTTTACTATCAGGCTATTTGTGGTACTGTATAAATTGTTCTCTAGTTTCTAAATCTGCAAATGTAGTGGATATAATCAACATTAAATTTCAATTTTCAAAATTCAAAGAAATGAAGCTGAACTGCATGTAGATGAAGGTGCATGCAGAATGTCAAAACCCACTGAGATGTTGATGGTGTTTAATACTTATGCATTAAAAACCAATTTAAAGCATGTTGACCTAAAGAAGAGATGAAGCATGATGACAAAGGATGATAAAAATTGATATCTTACTGCATGACCCACTAATGCTTATTCCATACATCGTTGTTATAGCTTTAACCCCCCAAGGATCGCTGCAACTTTTTCCTGCATTTTTCAGGAGCATATATCAGGCTTTTAGTAATAAGGGAGATGGAACCAGTCCTTAGAGAATAAATTACTTATTCTAAGGTGCTATCATGATATCATACTCTTCTTCTGTCCATATTTTCAGTGATAGGATTAATAGAGCAATTCAGTTCATGTATTGATCTCAATTGAATTCACAGAAGTACAGAAAAAGAAGAAAGAGATGGTAGTTCAGTGGTAATGTAATTGTTATGTAACTAGGAGGTCCTAGGTTCAAACCCAAGTTGATGTACATGTATAGATGCCCTTTGATAAGGTGTGAAGTTCGACAGATGGTATTTTTTTCCTTCTATTTCTACTGGTTGCTTGTCAGTAGGAATAAATCACCATCATCATCATCATCATCTTCATCGCCATAATCATCACCATTATCATCACCATCATTATCACCATCATTATCATCATCTCCAACATCATCACCATCACCATCATCATCATCACCATCACCATCATCACCATCATCATCATCACCATCATAGACTTTCAGAATACAAAAATGGAAGTCGTCCTTGCGAGCTTGCACCGAACCCTGTTCAAGCAGTTAGTTTCAGATGAAATACCCTCGAAATGCCAGAACCGAGGACCTGGTAATACGCGGATCATGAAAAAGACTAATGAAGTCTCCAATGAAGGGTGCAATAAATAGCAGTTTGATCTTCATGCCCGACTGGATAGCATGTGGTTCCGTGAGTGTTGTCTCTGCCCCATCGATTCAGCTACGATTCAGTTGCCAATTCTAGGCTGCCTGGAAGATACGAGATGCTATAAACAAGCTGGGAGGATGTGACTGTTGTTGATGGTGGTCATCTTGATTCCTGATGATGGTCATACAAAATGGTGGTGGTTACGATAGTACATTGCCATGCTTCTAGGAATCTAACTTTAACTTTTCACCTTTATCTCCTCACTATATTGATCTTGCGGTCTCTCTCTCTCTCTCTCTCTCTCTCTCTTTCTTCCCACTTTCTTCACTTTCATCACTTTCTTCTCTCTCTTTGTCCCTTCCTCCCTCCCTCTTTTTTGTTTCTATATCACCCACTTATTCTCATATGATATCTCATCTTCAGTTGAACTCCCACTTATGTCTCTCCCCATCTCATTTTTGTGTGTGTGTGTGTCTCTCTCTCTCTCTCTCTCTCTCTCTCGCTCTCTCTCTCTCTTCTACTTTGCTCGTGTTTAAAAAAAAACTTTGATTTTTATCTGATTTTATCTCTATGCCCCCCTAAAAACTGCCCTCTCCTCGTGTTCTTCCTTTCCCTGTGATCTTCCTTTCCCTGTGATCTTTCTCTCCCTGTGATCTTCCTCTCCTGTGATCAAATGATGAGTACCGGTAGATCAAACATCGGGGCCCTGAGTATATATCATGTGCTCGATTTATGCTGCTCTTCAAGAGGTTTCATCAGATCTTGCATGAGGATGCCCTGAATTTTTCGTTACTAAGGACGAAGTAAATCTGTCAGATTAGGGTATGGATTGCAATGATGTTCTTGATTTGTGGCTGAAGTGATATCCCTAACCGCTTCAAATGTGTTGATGAGTTATGAACAGGGATTTTTACGACTCCCTTTTAGGAAAAAAACACAGAGCATTGATCTAAAAAAGTCTCATCCGCATTTTGGATTGCGTGAATTCAAGGATAGAGTTTCTAGAAGGCCATATTAAATTTCCATGTAGTGTTGCATTTCAAATTGGTTTAAAATTTTCCAGAATTTGTACAAATATGTTTCCTGCAAAAGAGCCATGTTGGCTCTCGGTATCTTCTGGAAGAAAGCTAGATTTTGAAAGTGGCTTTATCTGAAAGGGAATGATGACTTTCCCCAAATTAAAATGAAGATCCTTCAGGTACTTTATTAAGTAACTAAAAACAGATTCTCAACAAAATGGCAATACATGATCCATTATGAGGCTGAATGTGTTTGAAAACACTGATACCTGGTTCCTATAAAATATCATTCCCTTGAACTGAAGGCATATATATATATATATATATATATATTGTGAGGAAAATGTAGTGCCTACATGTTCAACAAACCCAGAACGTATTGACGAATAGAAGTGAAGTTGATGAAAATCAGTGGAGGGGCCAGTCTTAGATAGAAGAAGTAATGTGCTGCCACATTGCTAGGAATCTATTGTACATCATTTGAGGCCTGAAAGGATCCTCAATTAGTTTTGTTTTTAAAGGAAAATACAATGTGTGTATGTATGTAGTCTCCAAGGTTGGCACAAGGTATGTAAATTTGGAACCCTTGGCTCATAGAGGCGAAATACAGTTGCCCCAAATGTTCACTAAAGTTGATACCTTCATTGTATAAGCACACTGGAGGCAGTGTTCATAGCAAAATGAGGCAACACAGTGGATTTTGGCTGAATGTTATTACAGGAAATATGTATCACATGCCTCTGAATTGGCACAAGGTATGCAAATTTGGAATCCTGGCTTATAGAGGCCCGAGGTTGCATCACTGCCTTCATATGGAATAAAGTCGATACCTTGTTTGTGTATACACTCCAGAGGCAACATTGATAGCAAGAGGAGGCAACACAGTGGTTTGTGGCATGAGGTTGAATATGAAATATCCAAATTAGTATAGGGTATGCGAGTATGAATGTTGCTGCATGAAATTCATGTGCTTGAATCGCCCTCATATGGAATAAATTTGATACCTTGATTGTGTATAAAGCACCCCAGAAGCAGCGCAGTAGTTTAAGGAGTGAAGAAATATTTATCAAATTATCTAAATTGGCATGATACATGCAATCCCGAAACGTTGTAGCATGTAGGTAGGGGCAAAAGGCATGTGGTTGAAGTTGGGCTTCATATTGAATAAAGTTGATACCTTGGATGTGTTAGCACTCCAGAGGCAACGTGGAGAGCAAGTCGAGGGAGCCCCATGACCTTTCTAACTTATAAATGAGCAAGGTAAGAGACACTCCCCGTACATTTCCACTTGGGTATCGAAGCGATACATCAACTCAATTTGATTGGGATCAGTATACAGGAGACCTGGGAGGGTTTGACTTGCGAACATTCCTTTAAAAAAAAATAGTAACAAAATTCACGACCCAAGGTGCATTTTTCCTATAAAATTGGGTTTATTAGATTTGTAGAAGCTTATTATACACGGGAAGTAATCATTAGTTTTGATGATGATCAAATATATTGTATTTCAAGAAAATTTAATGGGACATAAACCCAAATTGGCTGCAAACAAAAATGGCCCATTCACATATTCATTGTTTTTTGTGTTATACAGAAAAATATATGTCATATTATTTTGCAGCAGCATATTTTAAAAGTCTTTTTTTGCGTCAATCCATATGAAAAGGCTATCTGGGGTACACTCAGTATAAAAAAGTGGACACTATTTATTATTAAGATTTTCAAATAAATACTTCATTATAGACTTAAATTTTCTATATAACAAAAATAAAAACCTAAATTTGAATCAAACCATCTACACTAGAGTTAGCATAGCCATTTGATAATAAATGAGTCTCCAAAAAAAATTGCCAAAAAGGGTCATCTGGCCATTCAAATGTTAATGAGCATTTCCATCGTGTAGAGTCATATTTAAACTGAGAGGGGCATCTTGACCATGCTTGTCAAAACCCATGCAGTCCTGAGACTACAGTTGACATCCAAAGCTCTAGTTATCCTCCTCATTGTGTTTTTATTATTTGTTTTCATCGGTGAACAAGATTAGAGATTCACATGTTTAGTTACGTTTGAATGACTACTTGCTCTTTTTTTTGCAATTTCTGAATCAGACCTTCTAACAATTACGTGAATGTGCCCATCCAAGAATGAAAGTTCACAAACTTGATTTTTTGTTAAAGCTGAGTGTATTACATAATCAGGACAGGATTTCTGTATGCAATGCAATAGGATACATTCAAGTTGCCTTTGACTCTATTTAAAAAAAAGTTTTTGTGATCATGTTCCTCCTTTCCACTATCAGAGAAAGAAGGAGGGTGGATTGTCACCTGGGTAGTTTTGCACCAGTATGATTGAGGTACTCCCTGACCTTTCTAGTAATTTAAGGAGAAGGGGGAAGGGGTGCTAGGTGACGGATGTATCGCTTTCTGTTTTTGTCTCGATGCTAGCATCTGTAATTTGTGCCTGATTGGGGTTATGTCATCAGTCTGGTACGGAAGGTATGATGGGAGAGACAGATAGAGGGAAGGGTTAAATCATAGGAAGGAGAAAGCCAGTTAGAGATGGAGAGAGAGAGGGGGAGGGAGGGAGGGAGGGAGGGAGGGAGGGAGGGAGGGAGGGAGGGAGGGAGGGAGGGAGGGAGGGAGGGAGGGAGGGAGGGGAGGAGGAGGAGGAGGAGGAGGGAGGGAGAGAGAGAGAGAGAGAGAGAGAGAGAGAGAGAGAGAGGGGGGAGACAGAAAGAAAGAGAGAGAGAGGTGAAATATAGGATGGGGAATGGGATCAGTCTGGTGCGGAAGGTATGATGGGGAGAGACGGATAGAGAGAAGGGTTAAATCATAGGAAGGAGAAAGCCAGTTTGAGATGGAGAGAGAGATAGAGGGGGAGGGAGGGAGGGAGGGAGGGAGTGAGAGAGAGAGAGAGAGAGAAAGAAAGAGAGAGAGAGAGACAGAGAAAGAGACAGAGACAGGGAGACTGAGACAGGGAGACTGAGACAGGGAGACAGAAAGAAAGAGAGAGAGAGAGAGGTGAAATATAGGATGGGGAGTGGGATAAAACAAAGGTGTAGAAAGAGGAAAAGAGGTAGATCTTAAAGTGAAGAGAAATCGAAAGAATGTTTAAAAGGATATTTAGAGTATTTTGGTTGAATTTATATGTGATATCGAGAGCTCTAGAAAGTTGGTTTTCATACAAATGCAATGTAAATCTACTGAAGATGTGAAAATACCCATTAAGAAATGACTATAATATTTATTTTAAAAAACATTATGCAGATAAATGAACAAAGGTCAAGGGGTTGACCCCTCCTGAGCTACATAGTTGTATGAAGGGTCCTTGATTCTTGTGATGGAGAGTTGCCCCCTCTCCTCATGATTTTGTGTTGTTGATGAAGTGTATACTTTTGGACCTACGTGCTTTTAGTGCATTAATGCATTTGCCCCTTCCCCCTCCTCGTGAAGATGGGTCAATATTTCTGTCAATAAGTCATATTGTTAATCATCAACATCACAGCTTACACCAGACGATTACAATCCCCCTGTACAACAAACATACCATGCTTCCAAGCATCACCGCATACCCTCACAAAGCATCTGGCAATTAGTTCTGGAAAACTCAACAAGGTTTTTAATCTGTTTGCCAACCTTTTCCTCTTTTTTTCTTCCCTCTGTTTACAGCTAAGGATTTCATCAGGCATTTAATGGACGTGGATCCAAACAGCAGGTATACGTGTGAAGAGTCCATCGCTCATCCCTGGTGAGTATTCTCCAAGACTTCCTCTCTTGTCTCTCGTCGTTGGTTTTCAGTAATTAGTCAAAGCCTTGTTTAAACAAGATGTTGGTAAATAGATTTAATAAACAAACTACAGCCATAGATATAGAACCCACTACAGGAAAGTAGTGCGCATGAGAGTAATAGACGTAAAGAATCTTATGAAACACATAATTCGTAAGGCTATAATTGTATACACAAAGCCTGATAATTAAATCCATTTCCTGATAATTTTTTTCCCCCAATCTTTTCCAAAATTTCTTACTCAAAAGGGGGAAATGTTGTAAGATGCCACCCCCCCCCCCAAAAAAAATTTTTTTTTTTAAATCCTTGTTTATTTGTTTTTTCTCAAGGAGGGGGTTGGTTGAGGAATTAAAAAAAACATTTTAAAACTGTTTTTTGTTAGTGCACACTATCACCCCTGATACACAGATATTTTTCAACCCATATGCCATTTATTTAAACATACAATAAATTAATGATTTTATTTTTGCAGTCACTTTTCAAAAGAGGCAATAATTTAAGTTATTTCAGATTGATTTGGATTCATCCTGCAGAATACTCTAGAACAAACACATTGGTAGTGGTAGAAATAGCTGTCACTGTAGCATAACATCTGTAGTAGATGTGGAAGTACTAGTTCTCAGAAATGATTCATATGATTACCGTCTGTTTGGAGCCAGAAGGGTGTTAACTCATATACTTTAAAAAGAAAGTTTAAAGCCCTTCTGTCTCTGATCAGAAGAGATATAAAGATCTCACAGTTTTCCTCGTCCTGAGTCATATGTATGGTGTCTTTTAATAGCAGCCCCCTGGGGGCAAATTAGTCCACCATTTAAATGCATTTTCTTTCTTACCCAAGGAAGGGAGGTCAATTCAAACGCCTGCGCATCCATTCTTTTTCTCTTAATTGAGTAAATAAATCTGTACATGATATGATTCATATACGTGGTGAATCAATTTGGTTACTTTGTTATTCAGTCCTCCAACCTTATTTGATTATAGTCGATGTGCATTACTCATGCTCTTTAATTCGTAGTAAACATATCCTCTGCCAAGAGCCGGAAGGATATTCACTCTAATTTAAATGTTATGAATTATGGCTCTCATCAAATAATATGTAGTATTTGTGTCCAATTTTTTGCCTTGTGAGGTGTTATTTATTTAATGCATTTTATTATAAATGTACAAATAAAAACTTTGAATTCTTCAAACCTGAATTTTGTAGTGTGAAATCAGAGGTCACAATTTCCCCCTCTAACTTTATGTAACTTTTTTTTACGATCCCATGATTTATTGCCAGAAAATTTGTAACAGTGAATTAGTGATAGACTTAAGAGAAAATGTAAGTTTGTCCATTTTTGAAGGAGGAAAATGTTGAACCTTGTGCCACCTGTTCATGAAGCAATTCCCTGATGGGTTAATATAAAACAGAAGGGTATATCTGGGAAGTTTGGATGTAGTCATGTTACAGTGAAAGATAGATTATCTTTGTTTTCGATTTGTAGAGAAAGCTTTTCAGATATCCTTTGGTGAGATCTTGAGAGAGCTTAGGTTAGAGATTGGATTGACGATTGGGGGTCATGTGGGTTAGTCTAGGATTCTGTAGAAAGGAAGAGGGCACACTTTGAAGAAAATCTCTTGACAAGAAAAAGAAAGAGTTATCACATTTACAGGTGCAAATTTACTCCAGAAAATTTCTGACAAGCAAAATAGGACCTTGACTGGTATGACATGTGGACTCGGGTAGATGATCAAATTTTGGGAAAACTTATGATATGCCAGATTAGGTCTTAAAAGAAGAGGGGTGGACACGGGCTGGTTGTGCCCCCAACCCCCCCCCCCCCCCCCCCCCCCCCCCCGCCTCAATCCACCACTGACTGGTCCCATCTCCAATGATGATGGATTAGGATGAAGTCATCTGCCGAGACACAGAAGGACGTTTACTCATATACCTCAATAAAGGCTTAACGTCCTTCTGGCTCTCAACGGACGAAGTGATTGGAGAGAGAAGGCAGTGCAGAGGTGTCACCTGGCTCCCTCATTAGATTAACGGCGTTAACGGACAGGATTTGCTCATGCTCGCCATGATGTGCCACTTCCGAAAGTGGGCAAACGTATACACCATCCTCTTCTACTCCAATGACAGTATAAGTGAGGGAGCACATATCCCCCCTTTCAGACTACCTATATTTAATGTACAGCTTTACGATAAGGAATTACCTTTACTTCTAGTCTGAATGACATAAAAGGGAACATCATGAACAAAATGTTGTATAACAAAAATGCACAATAGAGCATCGTTTTTGAACAATAACTTGATGGAGAGTCAGGGTCGCATTCTAGTCTGAGCATCGTTAAAAAATGTATAACTTTGAGGAGCTCATCGTGAGCATGTACTTATGATTAATTGGCCTGCTGTCATGACAACCGACTTTTTCAAAACTAGTTCATTTATATGATGTTCTTATTCAGTCTGTACACCCCTTTCACTTTACAGTGATTCTTGTCTATAGAGACCGCCCAAGGGAAACACAAAAAGTGATTTTCGTAGACAGGTTCCTTTAGTACATGTTTCAATGAGAAACTAATTTCAAGGGAAACAAAAAATTGGGTCTTTGTAGACAGGTGGTCACTTAAGCAGGTTTGACTGTACTAAAGCTTTGTATGATTTCCCTTCAGTCTGAATTAACACACCATGAGTCTGCCGTTAGATTTGTCTCTCGTGGGTTGTGACAGGAGGAAATTCAGCTTCAGATGCACTGTCCCATGCACTTTTCCACACCTTTTAGATTAATTGGGCATTACTGCGAACAGTGCTCACACCTGATTTTGGTGTTGGCTTTATATTTATAACCAATGTCACCCAAGGTCTTTCACCTTTACGAAGAATTTTACAGACAGACCATGTCATTTCCTAGAATTGCTTTTGCTTCTGCTTCTAACTTCAGTTTTTAATTTGGTATTTACAAAAAGAAGCTGCAGGTGTGAGGAAGAACTTGTGAGAAAACCCAGCTTGTATTTCTAGAACCTGAAAACAAAGTACCATTAACTTATTGACCTTTAAAGACCCTCTGCACTACTTGTAGCTACTTGCGCCCTCTATATAGAAAACAATGCCTAATCAGTGCCTGTTGGTCCCCCATGATCCCCTTTTTCTTATGTTAATTGAGAGCTGATTTGATGATATAACCACCTGTCAGTGACCACGCTGGGTGGTCTAATCCCTCCCGGCCAAACTAGTACAGACAGGCTTTAATACCTAACAGCTCTTCAAAAGTCCATCATGTAATCTTTGCCATCTACACCGTATATCTTAGATTGGACTAGAATTCACAATGCATGTACCAATATCTGTTTCATGATGACAGAATGAGATGACACTTGAGACAAAATTCTTGGCCAGGATTTGTACTCAGAAGGGGTTAAGAAGAAAGATTTCAAATGTCAGAATTCAATCAAATGAATCTCTATGTTTTTTTAGAAAATAGCTGTTAAAAAAATAATCTTAAAAATGCATCATAAATAAGAATCAAGATATACATTGTTTTTATTCAAACAGCAAACTAGATAAAAGCTCATAATTTGCTTCATTGTAGAATTTTTGTGTGCACATAGCTGATTGATTAAGTACAGACCATGACATGGTATGAGGCACCAAATAAAAAGAAAACTGCTGTATTTTGGGGTTCTTGGGGCCATGAACAGACTTTAAAAAGCTTGTTGATACCAGCATTATAGTTGCATATTAGTCAAATCATTTTTTGGAGTTTTGCAGTGCTGAATTATTTGATGCTCCGTTGTATTTCTTTTCACCGATTGTCATTGAAGCATGTAGCTGAGTTATCCCTTTAACATTTAGATGAAGGATGGAACATTAAAGAGAGTCACCTCCGTTTTGAAAGCCAGTGCATTGAACTGAGCTTAATCAAAACATGCATTGTAGATGCTCCAATTGTTTTTCCCTCCATCCGGTCATTAGGACATGAGGGACCACTGCTCTCAAACCCAGAAAATGTCTTTTTGTTATTGGACATTTCCTCTTTATTTATTGATCTGTTTTTTGTGTGGATTTGGCTCACTTGGCAAGCAGTGACCTGATTATTGTGGCCCCATGAAATGTGTCCCAAGTCAGTCAGTCACTCAATAGTGTCTGACAGTGAAGTTTAGAAAGTAAACTGTTTTTTTTCCTTGCATAATTTGAATACTAGGACACTCACTGCTAATGTTTACATTTCATAAATAGGACATACGTGACAAATTCAAAAGTGCTGCAAAGTTCTACAGAATTCAATATTGGCTGCAAAAGGGATACACTACCTTTAATGTGGTTCCCATTATTATGTATATATCTTTGAACCCATTGCATACTGGAATCTGGTGGGCCCACTGTTGAGTGTATGCAAATGAGAGAATTCAGTACAACACACCTTTTGCATGATATACATGTTTGGGTGTGTTCTCTTGAAATCCGTTACCAGGGCCCCATTTCACAAAACTTGTCATCAGTGATAAATGACAGTTTTCATTATAAGGTAGTGAAATCCTTGCTTCTGATTGGTTATCAGCAGATTTGTCATTGATTTTTGACATTTGTCATTGAAAAAAGGCTTCATGCAATGGGTCCCTGGACTTGATTTTAGCTTTGATATCCAAAACCAGGCAGATTCTTGACTACTCAAAACCCCTCTCCGAGAAACAGGTCGAAGTTGATAACTGGTCTGGGCCAGGAAATGCGCTGTAAAAATGAAGAGCATCATCCTTTTTTAAGGACCATAAATCGAATTCTATGAGTATGTTGGAAGAAAATGATGTCAGGATGATCGATCTGTCTTAATTCTTTCTTTCTAGCTTGTTTACCATTCTTATTCTTTCTTTTATCTTGCATTCTATCTTTCTTTTTTTCTTCTATCTCTCTGCTTGTCTCTCTTTCCTGTTGTCTATGCATCTTTTCATTCTCCCCCTTTTTTATGTACATCAGTATC